GGCAAGCGCACGCCACACCCCCCGCCCCCCCAGGCCTGAGATGGCCTCAGCTCAGAGGCCACGCGTGCCTCCTCCTCCCTTTCTGCCTCTGAACCTCTGACGAGGGTGAGGCTCTGGCTCCCGTGCTCATGGGCTCCCGGGGTGAGAAAACGGCTTCCGCCTGCTCAGACCCAAGCACGCGGCAGGGCACAGGCAGGCCCGCGGCTCACCTGGGAAACAGCACACTCGGTAACGTAACACAGGAAGGGACTGTTCCGTCACTCACAACGGCAAGCCTACCTTTGTTGCCACCCTGAATTAACTTAATACCTTTTTGTTGTTGTTGACCCTCACCTGAGGATATTTCCCACTGGATTTCAGGGAGAGTGGAAGAGAGAGGGAAAGACAGAGAGAAACATGGATGTGAGAGAAACACATCGATTGGTTGACTCCCCCCCTCGCCCTGACCAGGGTGCTGGCCCAGGAGGAGCCCACAACCCAGGTAACGGGCCCTTCACCGGAATCGAACCCGGGACCCTTCAGTCTGCAGGCCGACACTCTATCCACTGAGCCAAACTGCCAAGGCAGTATCTAATTTTTAGAAAAGCATCTCATGCCCTAGCTGGTGTTGCTCAGAGGATAGAGCGTCAGCCTGCGGACTGAATGGTCCCAGGTTCGATTCCGGCCAAGGACATATGCCTGGCTTGTGGGCTCAAACTCCAGTAGGGGTGTGCAGGAGGCAGCCCATCAATGTTTCTCTCTTATCACTGATGTTTCTATCTCTCTCCCTCTCTCCTTTCCTCTCTGGAATCAATAAAATATATTTCTTTACAAAAAGAAAAGCACCTCCTATGACTGGGGGGCGGGCGGGTATTGCAAAATAATAACAGTAATAACCAAGTAGCCCAGAGCCCCACTTCCTCCCAGACAGACCCCCCAGGTGGATCAGGGGCCTGCATGTAGGATGCTGGCAGGAAACGCGTCCTCACAGTTCAGAGAAGGCCTTTTACACATGTCGCCCTTGAAGCCAAATGATAGCTCTTCCTGAGTGAGTTCGAAGTTCAGAGGGGGGCACAGGCCTGGGTGCTCAGAGGGGGCACCTGCCTGGGGGCTCAGAGGGGGGTACAGAAATGCAGGGAACGCCAGGGCAGAGCGGCCCAGGGAAGCCAGCTGTGGGTGAGCCAGGGTTTCTGCAGGGAAGACAGCGCCCCTAACCCTGGAGGGCGCTGTGGGATCTAGCCTGGCCCTCGACCTCCGGTGAGGGGCTGGGGCAGGGCGGGGGGAGGTACACACAGCAGACGCCCGAGGACCAGCGGGAAGGCACGGTCAGGAGCACAGGGGACACAGCCGGCCAGAGTGCGGAGGTCCGCTGAGCAGCGTCACACGAACGGTGCCCTCAGGCAGGGCACCCAGGCTCACTGGCCACGGGTTCCCTGTGCGGAGGAGGGGTCGCCTGCTCTGCAGCTTTAAGACGGGAACCTACACGAGCCCCACGTCACTCACCGCCCATCAGCCACCTGGATTCCCACCGAGTCTCCTGGACACTGGACCGGCACCGACGAGGGAGGCCCGGAGCCCGAACACGGCGAGGGCTCGAGGCCTGCCCTGGGCTGGCGTCCCTGCCTCTCGAGCGCGGCCCACGTAACCACAGCGTGGTTGCCTCTGCCCTTATCTCCTGGTCTCGCAGGAAATCTCGGCTGGCTTATCTCCTGGCTCTGTGGGAACCCAGAAGTCTGGCACCTCATTTAAAAACACCAGCTGTGACCCTCAGCAACATGACATCGCCATCCTGGCGGGGCCCTTTTTAAATCCCCGTTCCCTGTCATCGCCCTGAGCTTCCCGTCTCTGGTGCACATGGATGTAACAGGTCTGAAGACAACACCCACACAGGTCATGCACCCGTGTGTACAGACACGCACACACCTTCCTCGAAAGTCACCGTTCTTCTCTCTGCCCGTCGGAAAAGACTGTCCTCCGAACGGCCTAAGCCGATGGCTGGGCTGCCTCCCGCCTATCCTTCACCTTTCAGCTGTCCTCAGCTACAAACCACTCCCGGCTCCGTCCGTGCGGCCTTCTGAGTGCTCTTTCCGCCCTCCGCCTGACCCAACAGATGCAGGAGCACACCATGGTTACCCTGCCCCTGGCTTCCAGCCCTCTCTGCCAATCTTCTGAACGCTCCCGGTGGATAAAAGCCTCTAAAACACAACGTTACAGCATCACTCTTCCCTACAGGCTTTGTAAAGGGTGAACAATCCAAATGTGTCAGCCACGTAAGCTCCAACTCCCGCCTTGGACCGGCCTGGCCCTTTCTAGTTGACCTCTGCTTGCAACGGCCCCCTCTTCCCTATCCGAATCCCACCACGCTCGGGCTGACCCCGGCACCCTCGGACCCTCCCCATTTCCAGTATCTCGGCAAGTGGGTACCCCATCAGGACTGCCTGCGCTCAGGCCAGGGCCAGGCCGACAGCCGCCGCGTCAGCGCCAGCCTGGAGCTCCCGAGGCCACAGGCAGTGCGAGGTCTCCCTGGTGTGCGGTCGGGAAGCTGGGAGGGAACCCACGCTGAACAGACTGCCTTTGCCCTCCGAGGCTCTCCCAGCTTCTCCAGGAGCCAGGCAGCAAACGGTGCAGTGGGAGCCCCGACTCCATGGGAAGAGGCTCCCCGAAGGAACACATGCACCCCACAGCACGGCTGTGCTATTTACGAGGACACGATCCGGACACAGCGGCGAGCCCATCGGGGAGGAGCGGGTCAGCAGCTGGGCCATCTAACCCGGAATACCACGCAGCCAGCGGCAAAGGGAGGGCGGCCTCTTACCCCGCCCGGCAGCAGGGCGGTGCCTGCGAGGACCAGACTGAGGAATAAGACAGGGCGCTCTCCCTCCAGTGAACCCAGTGAGCACAGTAAACTGAGGGACAAAACAGACCCAGAGGCAGGCGCACAGAACAGCCCGCGGGGTCTCAGCGGGAAGGGGGTGGGAGGAAAGGCTGACCAGCGAACTTCTGCACTTATGTGGACAGACAGAGGACAGAGCAGGAGGGCCTGGGGGAGGGGGAGAAAGTAGGGGGGGAGGTCCATGGGGGAGGGGGCATCCGTGATAGTTCAACAGGGAAGACAAACTGAAGGAAAGAGAGCGAGGCTCAGGGAAAGCACATCCTGCTGAGGTCCTCACTCCCAGGAAGGGGCAGCGGCCGCACAGGGTCTGGGGCGGAGATGGGGGGTCGGGGGCCGAGATGGGGGGTCGGGGGCCGAGATGGGGGGTCGGGGGCCGAGATGGGGGTCGGGGGCGGAGATGGGGTGTTGGGGGCACGGATGGGGGGTCGGGGCAGAGATGGGGTGTCTGAAGCAGAGATGGGGGGTCGGGGGCGGAGATGGGGGGGTCGGGGGCGGAGATGAGGGGGTCGGGGGTGGGGATGGGGGGTCGGGGCGGGGATGGGGTGTCAGGGGGCGGGGATGGGGGTCGGGTCGGGGATGGGGTGTCGGGGGGCGGGGATGGGGGGTCAGGGGCAGAGATGGGGTATCAGGGCGGAGATGGGGTGTCAGGGGCGGAGGTGGGGTGTCGGGGGCGGAGATTGAAGGGTTGGGGGCGGAGATGGGGGGTTGGGGGCAGAGATGGGGGGTTGGGGGTGGAGATGAAGGGTCGGGGGCAGAAATGAGGGGTCCGGGGGGAGATGAAGGGTCGGGGGTCAGAGATGGGGGGTCGGGGGTAGAGATGGGGGGTCGGGGGCGGAGATGAAGGGTCGGGGGCAGAGATGAGGTGTGGGGGAGTAGGAGGGGGGACAGGCCTCGGTCCCCTCCCTCTCCGTGGAGCGCGGGACACCTCCTGCGCAGTTTGGCAATCACCAACCTGCCCTCCAGGCGGCGAGGAAACTTAAAATAAATGGAAAAGGCCGATCCCCAATGACCAGAGCAGGAAGGCCGGTCGGCGGCGCCAGGAAGCGGGCCCAGGCGGCGGCAGCGCTGACCTCCGGAAGGCGGGCGGGGACGAGGCCCACAGACCGATGCCGTCCCCCCCCCCCCCCTCCGCCTATGGCCCTGCCGCCCCGCTGCCGGGAACAGCCCGCCCCGCGAGGAGCCGGCCCCGCTCCGGCCCAGCCGCTCCCACGCCGGCCCGGCCGCCTCCGGGGGCTCGGGGCGCTCCGGGGCTGCCGCTCACCGCTCCCCCTCACCGGCCGGCCGGCCGGGCGCCCAGGGCTCCGAGGCCGTTCGATCGGCACCGCGCCCGGGGCAGCGACGGAGCGATCAGGGCCCGCTCCCTCCTCGGGACGGGCTATGGGCGGGAGGGACCCGCACAACCGGCCCGCGGGGGCCCGGGGGCGGGGTGACCGCGGAGGGCGCCCGACAACACCGGACGGTCCCCTCGCCCCGGCCCCCCGCCCCGGTCCCCCCTCACCTCCGGCGGGAGAGGAGCCGGAGCGGCCGGGGTGAGGGAGCGCGGGGCGGGAAGAGGGGGGCAGACGCCACAGGGAGCGGGGGTGCGCGTGTGTTTGGGGTGTGTGTGTGTGTGTTTGGGGTGTGTTTGGGGTGTGTGTGTGTGTGTGTGTTTGGGGGGTGTTTGGGGTATGTGTGTGTGTGTGTGTGTGTGTGTGTTTGGGGGGTGTGGGGGGGGTGTTTGGGGTGGGGGGGTGTTTGGGGGGGTGTTTGGGGTGTGTGTGTGGGGTGTTTGGGGTGTGTTTAGGGGGGTGTTTGGGGTGTGTATTTGGGGGGGGTGTTGTGTGTGTGGGGGTGTTTGGGGTGTGTGTTTGGGTGTGTGTGTGGGTGTTTGGGGTGTGTGTTTGGGGGGGGTGTTGTGTGTGGGGAGGTGCCGGGTGCTGGCCGGGGGCTGTGGGGCCGGAGGCTGAGGGCGCCCCGCCGGGGCGCTGAGATTAGGGGACGGGCTGCGGGGTCCGGGCGGACGAGGAGGCGGGATTCCCGCCGGGACCGGGGACGGCGCTCGGGCCGCGATGGGGACGCCGCCCGCCGGGCCCCGCGGCCGCCTCCGGGCCCAGGCCGCCCGCCTCGCCCGCGCCCCGCCGCCGCTCACCTCGCGCGCCGCTCCGGGCTCCGGGCTCCGGGCTCCGCGGCTCGTCCCGCGGCGCCGGCCCGGCCTCGCAGGGCGCCGGCCTCTCCTCGCCGCGCCGCGTCCCCTCGCTCAGCGTCCGTCCGGCCTCGTCCTCCGCAGGCCCGGCGCCTCCCCGCGGCGGCCCCGTCCCCAGGGCCCCGCCCCGCCCCCGCGGGCCTGCGCGCCGATTGGCCGCCGCGGACTCGGCGCGCCCGGCCATTGGCCGCCGGCTGGCACGGCGGGGGGCGGGGCCGGACGGCGGGGGCGGGGCCTGGGACCGGATTCCCGTAACGCGCTCCAGCGTCCCGGATCCGGGGCCGCCCGCGCGTGAGGCCGGGATCGAGGCCCGCCCCCCCGCCTCCCGCCCCCGCCCCCGCCCCGCGGTGCCGCGGGAGCCCCGCGTGGAGCCAGGGCGGGCGCCAGGCCCTCGTGCCGCCTCCCTGCTCGCCTCCCGCGGGGACCGGCCGCGAGGGGCCGCGGGCTCCGTGGGGAGCGGGACGCGCCTCCCCGGGGACGCGGAGGCTCGACGCCCGGAGGGGTGACCGCAGGCGGCGGCCTCGGGGCTTCGGCCGGGCCGGGGAGACCGGACAGCGGTGTTCCTGCTTTTACGCCAGCGAAGGGGGCGGGGGGCAGGGCCCAGGCCGGGACCCTCGCGGCTGTATCTCCCATGGGTGTCCGAACCCGGAGCGAATCCGGTCTCCCTGCATCTCGCCCCCACCCCACCGCCGCCCCCTGGGAAAACAGCTGCAGAGCCACTTCGTTCTGTGTGTGTGTGTGTGTGTGTGTGTGTGTGCGCGCGTGCGCACGTGAATGTAGGAGTGTGTGTGTGTGCATGTGTATATGAATGTGGGAGTGGGGGGGGGGGGTGTTGTGTGGGGTGAGGGGCTCCCTGGGAACAATGCCAGGCTACAGAGGGCAGTAGAGGTTTAAGGACTGGCACAAATTACACCCACAGACCAACACAACTGTAAGGTTCTTCATTACCTGGAGGAATCAGCGAGGAAAACACACCACACTATTTCTTAGTTGTGACCATGTAATTTTTAAAAGACACAGGCAGCGGGCCTGCTGTGTGTCCAGAGCTAAAAGAGTCGCAGGCAGGCTGGGGATCCATTATCCCAGGCTGGTCGCCCCTGTCACCGTGTCTAACCAGGGAGGTGCCTGCGTGGCCCTCCTGCTCTGCCGCTGGCAGCAGACTTTGCAGATCCAGCAAACACGCAGGGACGGTGTCTCAGGCTCAGTGCGCCTCCCGGCTCCCCGTTCCGTGGTTTAAACCCTGCTTCCTCCCAGTGGGAGGGAAGGCTCTGACAGGGCGGCTGCAGGGGCTGCGGAGTTAAAGTGCGGGAAGCGCTGCAGAGGGTGTGCTCAGCCTGTGGGACTGTTCTCTTACTGAACTCGGACTCTGTCCGTGCTCCCCAGACCGCTGGAGACGTGGCCTTCTCCCATGGGGAGAGACCGGGCACAAGTCACTCAGCTCGTGGGACAGGAAACCCAGTCCTCCGTGGGATCTGCTCCCGGGTGAGCCCAGCCCCAACCTCCAGGAAACGCCCCTCGGGGGGATGGATGGTGGGAATCCTAGGCCCACAGAAGGCATTGGTCATGGAGCTCAGAGCAGCGAGGGCGTGTCTGCCCCTCGGTTGGAATGAGATGACCTGGCAGACACCTCCGGAGGGCACTGGCCCCGAAGTGACACCTTCAGGGGAAGGATGGGTCATTAGAAAGCTCTGTGGTTGAGCATCGACCTATGAACCAGGAGGTCACAGTTCAATTCCCGGTCAGGGCACAGGCCTGGGTTGCGAGCTTGATCCCCAGTGTGGGGCGTGCAGCAGGCAGCCGATCCATGGTTCTCTCTCGGCACTGATGTCTATCTCTCACTCCCTCTTCCTTCCTCCCTGAAAGCAATTATACATATATATATATATATATATATATATATATGTACATACACACATATTCCTGCCAAAATGGGTGGATAAGTGGGGGCCATTTTGGATTTCAGATCATTAAAAGCAGAGAGGGTGAGCTGAGGACACAGGTTAGCTGAGAAGGTGAGCAAAGCCGGGGGCGATGTTACTCAGCAAAGCTGACAACCAGCTGGGGGCACGCTGGGCCTGCCGGCTAGTGGCTTCGTGTGGCCCCGCCCAGGACACCACAGACCTCCTTGCCTGTGCCCAGCGGGCCCCCCGAAACCCTGTGTGCGCGCCTCGGCACGCCCCCAGGTTCTGCCTCCGCCCCGTGGTTTCACATCTTCAGGAATGACTCACACCTGACCCACCGTGTCTCATCCTTTTCAGTGCCACTGAATCCGAAACCCGCAGCTGGGGCCGCACCTCGACCCGTCATCAGGTGAGGCCGCCACCTGTGCCGGCTGGCTGTGCGTGGATTCTCTCCCCACCCACCCGCCGCTGCCCCTGCCCCTCGTCCTCCGTGACTGCCAGTCTCTGTTCTCCCTCCTGGTGGTTACTGAGCGGGAGCGCTCTTGCCAGCCATGGGCTGCCCTCCCAGAGCACCTTTGTCTGTGACCTTCAGCCTCGGTGACAGCAGCAGCGCCGTTCCCTCTCCCCTTTCCCGGGACCTCGTCAGCCCAGCCCAGCCCTCCTCCCGGCACAGACCCTGCTGTCACTTTTCCCTGGAAAAACCTAGGTCGTCCCTGTGAGCGTCCTTCACTTTTCTCCACTTTCGGAGGTTGGTCCTTCCCCTGGTCCTTTTCAAAGGGTTCCTCCTCCTGTGTCTCGCTTCAGCAGCTCCCACGTTCAGTACCCTCCTCTCAGCTTTCTCGTTGTGAGCGTGGAATTCCTTAGAAAACACACTGAAATGGCGGACTCAGCGGTGAGCCGGCGAGCTGGCGGCAGCCTCAGAGCCTCCGTTTGCCGACCAGAACGGCACAGGTGTCGGGAGCTCAGCACCCGTCTCAGAGCCAGGTGGGCAGACCACACGGAGACACACATAGTGAAGTTTGAGATGAAACAGGAACTTCAGTCAGGCTGAAGCTAAATTCCCAACCTAGAAACCAGGAAAAACCCACTTCATCCCAATAAGCTGAGCGACACCAGGACTCCATTTCAAACATTTTCCTGAAGATAATAAATATGCAGCAGCACAGGCTAAGACAGTGGTCGGCAAATGGTGGCTCTCCAGCCACATGCGGCTCTTTGGCCCCATGAGTGTGCTCTTCCACAAAATACCACGGCCTGGGCGAGCCTGTTTTGAAGAAGTGGCGTTAGAAGAAGTTTAAGTTTAAAAAACGTGGCTCTCCAAAGAAATTTCAATTGTTGTCCTATTGATAGTTGGCTCTGTTGACTAATGGTTTTGCCGACCGATGAGCTAAGATACAACTGGAAAATGCTCACAGACTGCTCACAGCCACGTAACGTGCACCCCGATCGGGGAACAGCACACGACCAGCACCCCAAAGCCCCCTTATCATGGGGAGTCTCAGGTGACCCCCATCCTGACACCACATCCTGCAGTCTCACAGCCGTCCTTTTAAAGCCGAGAGGCCAGCAGAAGCTTCCCCAGGGTGTCGGTGGGCGCGCACCGCACTTCACTTTGCTGAATGACGCTGGAGAGCGGAGCTCACAGTGGACTCACTCTGCACGGAGGTTAATCCCGGTGAGGACCCCGCCCCCTCCTTCTCTGACCTCCGGGAGCCGGGGCGAGGGCCGGGCCTAGTGACCTTGCCGATCTCGGCCACAGGGAGCTGCAGAGGCCAGGCCAGCGCAGACGTGCAGCCCCAGTCAGGCCCGCCCCGTCCCGGGCACCCCTGTGCCCAGGCACCCCGAGGCGAGGCGGCCTGGCCCGGCTGCAGCCTGGAGTGGCCGGCTGGCTCCAGAACCCCCTCCCGGGATTTGGACCCTCCACCCCCGCAGGAGCCCTGACACCACCCTTCCCGGAGCCCGGACACTCGCTGTTAGCTCTGAGGCAGGGGCTGACCGCTCATCTGAAAGCACTCGATTCAGGGACAGCAGGCCCCGTGCTGGGAGCCCGTGGGTCCATAAGCCGGGAGGTGAGGACAATATTCCCTCCGGGGGAAGGCGGCCAGGGTGGCCGGCCCTCGGGGGCTGGGCTGGAGCAGCACTGACCACTGGAGGGGCGCCGGCCGAGGGCCGAGGGGCAGGACTGTCATCCTGAAGGACCCGCTTTTTCTAAAGGACCGTTAGCTTTTCTCTCTGCCGGCCGGTGCTGGGTTTGCCTCCTGCGTTCACGTGTGCCAGTTCCTGCTGAATTCTTCCCGTGTGCTTCTGCCTGCAGCCACCAGCCTCTCTGAGTTCCTTCCTCCATCAGACGTGGACCTTGGTTCGAACCACATGGGAAGTGGGATTGGGGTGCACACTAGCATGAAGTGGGTGTCTTGCCTTGGGTTCAGGCATTACCAGGGACAGACAGACAGTCCCCCTCTCTTCGAGGGGACCACAGACACTCAGGCTCAGCACAGGGTCCGGCGGGAGGGTGCTCTCACCGGGGTGCATTCGGACGAGCTCACCCCATGAAGAGGACGCACATGCTCTGTGGGCCCACCAGGGCGGCCGTGACTAAGCCGGAGTCAGGGCCGGAGTCCTGCTCTGCCGCTTCCTTCCTGGCTGAGCGGCCTTGGCACTTCCCCTCCTTCCTTGCATTCCACCGCCCTGAGGGCTGGGGGGTCAAAGGCAGCCCTGGCCTGGCAGTCCTGAGGGCTCTGTTGGGCCAGAGGCAGCCCTGACTGCCCTGATGGCTCTGTGGGGCCGGAGGCAGCTCTGGCCAGGCTGCCCTGAGGGTTGGTGGGGCGTGGAGGCAGCCTGGGCCGCCCTGAGGCTGGTGGGGCGTGGAGGCAGCCCTGGCCCGCACAGGGTGGCCTGAGGCCAGATGCGAGGAAGCAGAAAAGGGCTTGCCCTGCACACTCAGCTCAGTACAGCCCAGCCCCGCTTGGCTGCTGCTGTCCACGCAGGGCTTCCTGGCCGAGGGCGTGAGGGTGGCGGGAGGCGGGTGGCGGGAGGGAAGGGGTGGCAGGGGCGTGCTGAGCAGGACAGGCACAGGTTCAGATGCAGCTCCCCAGATGCTGGGCTGCAGGCAGCGGCTCCCTCCCGGACTGCACCCACCCAGACTGCGGTTCCCTGTCGTCCTTCACTGGCTGCCCGGCCAGCCCAGCAGCCCAGGCCTCGCCCTCCCCCCCCCCGGGAGGAGGAGCCCCG